TCTTTCTTTCTTTCTTTCTTTCTTTCTTTCTTTCTTTCTTTCTTTCTGTCGTCTGTCTGTCTGTCTGTCTGTCATTCTTTCTCTTAAAAGGAAAAAAGAGAAAGAAAGGGAGGGGAAGAAGGAAGGAAGGGGAAAGAGAGGGAAGGGAAGGGAAGGGAAGGAAAAGTGAATGAGATATGGATAGATGGATGGCTGGATAGAGGGAGGGAGGGAAAGAAAAAGGAGAGGAAGGAAGGACCACAAACCCTGGCACTAAATGCAGCTTCAGAGGATGCTTTGAAACAGCACAGCAATCCAGGGCTGGAAGGGACCTTGGAGATCATCTAGTCCAACCCAACCCCCTGCTCCAAGAGCATTGTTGAAGTGAGTTTCTCTCTTGACCCACCCAGTCACATGACCACCTAGCCATGCCTTCCCAATCACATGACTACCAAGCCACGCCCACAGAACTGGTTGTTAAAAAAAAATTGAATCCCACCCCTGCTTCCTCCCCCAACCCTTGTTACTGAAAATGTGTATACACTGTATATATCTAAATAAAAATTATATTTAAAAATGCTTTTTCACAGATGGTTAGTGTTTCCAAATTTGAGATACAGTAGAAATTTCTCTCTAGAAAACAGTTGTTCAATCTGGAAGATGTTAAAATGTATTGTAAGAGTTGCGGTGGCACAGTGGTTCAAGTGCAGTACTGCAGGCTACTTCTGCTGACTGCCTGCAATTTGGCAGTTTGAATCTCACCAGGCTCAAGGTTGACTCAGCCTTCCATCCTTCCGAGGTCGGTAAAATGAGGACCCAGATTGTTGGGGGCAATATGCTGACTCTGTAAACCACTTAGAGAGGGTCGTAAAGCACTGTGAAGCTGTATATATGTCTAAGTGCTATTTCTATTCCCAAATTAAATTTATGTTGGGGATTGGTTTGCTTCTATTTTAATGGCACATCAGAGGGCAAAACCTTTTTTAACCCTCATGATAATTCTTGTGAGGAATTACAATTACTGTTTTGTAATTAAGAAATAGAGACAAAGCTAATAAGTCCTCTGACAGAAATGTGACATGAACCCAGATTTCCCAAGTACCATCCTGTCAGTTGGCCTACACTACCTGTTAAAAGTTAAAAAAAAACTATCAATTTTTTACGAAATGCAAATACCCCAAAAATTATGCCGCATGAACTGATACTAGCAGTCCACTTTCCTTATTTCAGCACAGTTCAAGATTGGACATCTTTTTGCCCAAGGGTGTAATCTATCAATTTTTGAATGAGAAAAATATTGTTAACACCAATCCTCCCAAGTCTGATAATAAGGGAAGTAAACATTCTGTTTTTTCATTCAAGGTATGCACCAGATAAGGTAAGTGACTCCTTTTTACAAGTGCCCTTACATCACAACTCAAAGTGCATGTTGTGATATAAAAAATAAACACTTCCAAAGGCTGTGATAGTCAAAGTGCTCACCTGCCCCATTTTGCTTTGTTTGGCTAATTATGAGTGAATTAAAATACATATGGAAATTTCAGCATATTCTGATTAATTCAAAGTTTTCTTCACAACTAGTCCTTTTCACAGCTTACAAGGAAAGGATATCCCAGGATCCAAAAAGCCCTTTTTGGCTCTAGCAAGGTTTTAGTACCTAATCTTTCACACTTCTGAAATAATTGCATGCTCAATAGGTGTTGCTGGGCATTTGTGCTTGCATTTTATTAAATGTAATTTCAAGAATGTTCAGAAACACCCAGCATTCCATTTGCCTCCTAATTCTGTGTCCTGTGATCTGAGAGAGTGCTTCTTTCCTATTCCTCAAATTCTTTGATCATCTGGAATAAGAATAATTAATTTTAGTATTAAGTTGTTCAAATATTTGGGCCAAAAGTTGGAGGCAACAAAAAGAAAAGAAGGCTACATCTGACAACCAAGACATATAGGCTTATGATTGTGAGCTGTGAGAATGGCTTGTGTTTGGTTCTCTGTAGCTTTCTGGTCTCTGCATTCCAAAGGCAATATCTCTAACCAACCCCAAACCGTTGTGTACAAAGTGATTTACCAGAGGATAATCATTCTGTCCTAATCACTCACCTGATAGGTCTGATTCCCTTGCAGGTAGAACGGATCCCATCCCTATCGTTGTCAAATATGATGTCATGGGCATGGGTCGGATGGAAATGGAGGTAAGTGGCCCCTGCAACATATACTTTGTATCAGGCAAGATTAAGTATCTGCATTTTACCAGAATATTTATCAAACTGATGTACTTTTGGACTACAGTTTTCATCATCCAGCCCCAAGTGTTATAATCCAACACACAGAGGGCTTCAGTGGGGAAGTATCTTTTAGTCAAAGAAATGATAGTGCTTCAATATAATATACACTGTGTGCACAATTATTAGGCAAGTCTTTTATTTTGACAATATTATCATTTTATGCATATTTTCCACCTCCAAGCTGTATAAACTTGAATACTTAGTGGATAGAACCATATCAGGTGATGTGTATTTGTGTAATAAGGGTGTGGCCTAAGGAGATCAACACCCTATATCAAGGTGTGCATAATTATTAGGCAGCTTCTTTTACTCAGGCAAAATGGGCCAATGGACTGAGCCAAGAAATATCTGAAGACAGATTTTTCAAAGGTTTTATGGACTGATGAGATGAGAGTAACTCTTGATGGACCAGATGGATGGGCCCGTGGCTGGATCAGTAACCAGCGCAGAGCTCCACTTCGACTCAGATGCCAGCAAGGTGGAGGTGGGACAGAATGGGCTGGTATTATTAAAGATGACGTAGTTGAACTTTTTCAAGTTGAAGATGGACTTAAAATCAACTCCCAAACCTACTGCCAGTTTTTAGAAGCCACTTTCTTCAAGCAGTGGTACAGGAAAAAGTCTGCATCTTTCAAGTAGACCATGATTTTTATGCAGGACAATGCTACATCGCTTGCATCAAAGTACTCCACTGTGTGGCTAGCCAGTAAAGGCCTTAAAGATGAAAGAATAATGACATGGCCCCCATCCTCACCTGACCTAAACCCTATTCAGAACCCTAACCCAATTAAAGCTCATTTAATTAATATAAGCACATTTTAAAAATTGATTGGGCCTGGTAGTAGGGCATGTCAAATTTTTCAACTTTCAATTTCCAAACATTAGGGGTGCTCAAACATGCCTTGAGGATTGTAAAGATATTTTGGTTACTTTAATATAATTTAGATGTGCTTGGTAAATAGCTACATAAATATCATATCTGTTTAAGTGTCTATGGAGATTCTCAGTCATCTAGGTCATGGTTGTCCCAAATGTGCTTTTTCAAGAGGGAACTGGAAAGTCCAGTTGCCTCTTGAAAAAGCAACTTTGGGACATAACTTTTTAACATGTTGTTTGTTTCATTTCACAGGTTCAGCTGTCTTTCACTTTTTGTTAAATGTTATTTTGTCTGAGAGTGTTAATACTGCTGGCCTCATTTCCTGTGAATGTGATAATTGATCTGTAAAGGTTTCTAAAAAAAGAACAAGACTGGGAACATTCACTCATATGAGTGACCTAATTGGGACTGGCAGAGTACCTATGGCAGGGTACCAATGGGTACCCTGGAACTAAAATTATTAAGAGCGTTATTCCTAAAAGAAGATTTTTAAAGTGGCGGAGAAGAGAGGGGAAAAGGAAAAAAGATTTTTTTTCTTTCACACATTGATAGCTGCAATAGGCTTTGAAAGTTAAAAAAGAAGCGACTCAACTAAGAAATTTGTGTTGATTTACTTTGACACTAACAGGTAATCCTAAACTAAAATTAAAGTGTCAAAGGGAAAATAAAGATTTTTTGGACATTCTAAAGCCCTCAAAAGGAGGAAAGTGGAGAGAAAAAGAAAGAGTGGACTTGGAAATAACAGAGAGTATCACCTGGAAATAAAAAGAATTAACTGTGAAACTTTAAAAAGATTTCCAAAGGATATACTGTAACTGAAACTTTGCTACAATATAACAGAGTCCCCGGAAAGAAAAAGTGGAAGAAAGAAGCAAGAAGAAAGAGCTTTGGATTACTTGGTGATTTTTGGAACTTTGGGTGTTGGATTTTTAGTGGTTTGAATTAAAATCAATCGGGTGGTTGTTTAAAAGTATTTAAAATGGTAGTACTCCTTGAGGAATTAAAAATGGAACTTAAAAAAATGAAAGAAGAGTCGCAAGAGGGAAGAGGATCCTTTGGCTTCGCACGTCAATTTTTAGAAATGGAGATTTTGAACTGTGAAAAACAAGAAACGCTTGAAGAACAAGAAGGGATGGACAAAGAAGAAGCCATCTTTAATGACCAAACAATGCAATGTGGGGTAAAATAGAAAAAGGGGGGGAAAGGAGTTAAAAATTTAAGCCTTGGGGAAACAACTAAAAAAAAAGAATAGTTTGAAAAGTAAATATAACATTAGGAAGAAGCAGAAGAGAGGATTACAGAAGGGAGAATCAGAGAGATGGGGACAAAGGGTGGAGAGAAAAAGAAGGGAAAGATAAAAAGGAAAAGAAGTTATAAGGGACAGAAACAGGAAATAAAGAAATGGGAAACATACAAGGATTAAAGGTATTAGCCTACTTAAAAGACATAGAGATAATGGTTAAAATATAAATTAAAAGAGAGGATTCTGCAAGGGTACAAGAGATAGTGTTGTTACATTAGAAATAGTAATGAGCTAGAAAATATGAAACAGGTGATTAAAGTGAAAGATAAAACTGGTATTGTGATGTAATGGAATGCTTGCTAGGAAATAAGAGAAAGGAATGAAAATAATTTAATTGTTTTTAAGGATTTATAAAATACAATTGAAGAGAAATGTGAAAGATTTATAATGAAATCAATATCAGTTGTCAGGATGAATTTGAATGGATTAATCATTTGATTCATCATTTTTATATATTTTTTCTTTTTTTAGAATTAAGTGTGTTGTTAAGGGAAAGTATCAAGCGGAATTCGGTTGATAAAGAGTTATATGATATAAAAGAGATATTAGAAATTGAATGTTATAATTGTATAATGTATACAGGTGAAACTCGAAAAATTAGAATATCGTGCAAAAGTTCATTTATTTCAGTAATGCAACTTAAAAGGTGAACCTAATATATGAGATAGACTCATTATATGCAAAGCAAGATAGTTCAAGCTGTGATTTGTCATAATTGTGATGATGATGGCTTACAGCTCATGAAAACCCCAAATCCACCATCTCAGAAAATTAGAATATTACATGCAATCAATAAAACAAGGATTGTACATAGAACAATATCGGACCTCTGAAAAGTATAAGCATGCATATGTACTCAGTCCTTGGTTTGGGCCCCTTTTGCGGCAATTACTGCCTCAATGCGGTGTGGCATGGAAGCTATCAGCCTGTGGCACTGCTGAGGTGTTATGGAAGACCAGGATGCTTCAGCTCTTCTGCATTGTTCGGTCTCATGTCTCTCATCTTTCTCTTGGCAATGCCCCATAGATTCTCTCTGGGGTTCAGGTCAGGCGAGTTTGCTGGCCAATCAAGCACAGTAATCCCACGGTCATTGAACCAGGTTTTGGTGCTTTTGGCAGTGTGGGCAGGTGCCAAGTCCTGCTGGAAAACGAAGTCAGCATCCCCATAAAGCTCGTCTGCGGAAGGAAGCATGAAGTGCTCCAAAATCTGCTGGTAGACGGCTGCATTGACCCTGGACTTAATGAAGCACAGTGGACCAACACCAGCAGATGACATGGCTCCCCAAATCAACACAGACTGTGGAAACTTCACACTGGACTTCAGGCATCTTGCAGTGTGTGCCTCCATTCTTCCTCCAGACTCTGGGTCCTTGGTTTCCAAATGAGATGCAAAAGTTGCTCTCATCAGAAAAGAGGACTTTGGATCACTGAGCAACAGACCAGTTCTGTTTTTCTTTAGCCCAGGTAAGACGCTTCTGAAATTGTTGTTCAGGAGCAGCTTGACAACAACATTTGAAGCCCATGTCCAGGATCCGTCTGTGTGTGGTGGCTCTTGATGCACTGACTCCAGCCTCAGTCCACTCCTTTTGAAAGTCCCCAACACTTTTGAATGGCCTTTTCCTGACACTCCTCTCCAGGCTGTGGTCATCCCTGCTGTTTGTGCACCTTTTTCTTCCACACTTTTCCCTTCCACATAACTTTCTATTAATGTGCTTTGATATAGCACTTTGGGAACATCCAACGTTTGCAATTACCTTTTGAGGCTTTCCCTCCTTATGGAGGGTGTCAATGATGGTTTTCTGTACAACTGTCAGGTCAGCATGATTGTGATTCCTACTGAACCAGACTGAGAGACCATTTAAAGGCTCAGGAACCCTTTGCAGGTGTTCTGGCTTAATTAGCTGATTAGAGTGGGACACTTTGAGCCTAGAATATTGAACCTTTTCACAATATTCTAATTTTCTGAGATTGTGGATTTGGGGTTTTCATGAGCTGTAAGTCATAATCATCTCAATTATGACAAATCATGGCTTGAACTATCTTGCTTTGCATGAAATGAGTCTATCTCATATATTAGCTTCACCTTTTAAGTTGCATTACTGAAATAAATGAACTTTTGCACGATATTCTATTTTTTTGAGTTTCACTTGTAAATTAAATGTTTAATGAGATTTGAAAGGATAATAATTTTAAAATATAAAGATGACACACTCTATTTGGTAATTATAGGGGGAACCTTGCTTTTTAATGCCTGGAAGGGGAGGGAATTTTCTTCTTTCTCTTCCCTTTCGGGATGATGATGGAAAAGAATCTATGAAATTGTAAGTAGGACAGACAAAAGTACAAGTATAATGACTAGAAAGATATAGAAACTTAGAAAAAGATATGTAATTGAATTAGAAAGGAATGAAATAATTATAAAATAAGGCTGAGGAAAGTAAGGGAAAAGAAGAATTATTGAAAAATTGATAAAATAGTGATAAGATATGAAATTGAATACAAAGACGAATATGTAACTAAGATTATGTATGCATGGAGATGTGATAACCTGGAATCATGCTGCTTTCAAAAAAAGATGATTTATTTCTATTATGTTTTGTGAAAACCCAATAAAATTTTTCTAAAGCAAAAAAGAAAATATGTTTCAATGGCATGTACTATGCATAATTTTTCTTTTGGGGAAAGTTAGATTTTCACTACAAAAAATCCCTCCTCTTTTGGGGCTCCAAAATAGGTCAAATTTTCTTGAAATAAGATGTTTCCTCAAGGTTTTTAGCATGAGTAGATTAGTACATTATTGCACATTTTGTTTTCAGTTTGCAGACAAGTTGGACGATGTGTGAGAGAATAAGATGTTTTACTATTTATGAATATTTCTTGCTCACAGAATGTTAATGCCCAATGTGTATGACTACCTGATTTGTCTTTGCTTTGGCTGATAGCTTGATTATGCCGAAGATGCCACAGAAAGGAGGCGGGTCTTGGAAGTGGAGAAGGAAGATACTGAAGAACTAAGGCAAAAGTACAAGGTACTTTCTGCTGGGCTAGTTAAAGAATCGTGGAGAATTTTCTCCAGTCTATCCTCATCTAAAGCATCTCAGTATAGAATCATTTAATATTATGTATGATATAGTAAGATTTGTAAATCACGGATGCCTAAGAAAGATCCTGTAATCTAATGAGATGTCTGGACCACTAGTGTAGGAACAGGCAAACTTGCAACATAGGATGCATTGTTTTAATTTTATGTTTGGTTAATGACATGGTGACATTATAAAAATGGGTGTAGTATAATGTCTTGAAGGGGTTGCCATGGTTTTGGGGCTTTAGGTGTATTAAAGTCTAAGAGAAAACATTCAAACATTTTTGTTGTTGATGTTTTCCTTCCCAAACATTTTGAAATTGTACCTTTGGTAGTTGGATGCCAAATTTTGGCAATACAATTTCTGGAGATCACAAAGTTCTGTTATGTAGGAACCAAAAGAGAGCAAAAGTAAGTGATCACATTGGGTCAAAATCAAACTACTCCTTGTTTGTATACAATTTCCCTTGGGACATTTTTTTAATAGGACGACTCACAGCAGCCAGGTTGGCACAGATGGGTGGGCGTGACTGGGTGGATGTGGCCAGGTCAGCACAGATGACTGCGTGAATGACTTGCCATGGTCAGGGGACAACTGAGTGGATACAGCTGGGCTCATCCAAAGGCTCCTCTTTTCAGGAGCATGTGAAGTGGGGGCAATACACACGCGCGCACACACACACACACACACAGGTGAAGCCTTAAGGAGGCGAATATGTGTTGCCAGGGATGGGGGGGCACTGAGGACACCCCAAAGTTGAGATCGAAGGGACGGAGGTGGGGGCAAGACATTTCCAAGCATGATGAAATTCCACAGAAATCAATGAGTCACAGTGGATTTGAGATTTTGGGGGGAAGAGAAGGGGCAGGGTCTCCCTCTCCATATTGGAAAACTGTTCTTAAGGGGGTTCCTAGCACTGGAAGGGGACAACTCACAGTGGCAGTGCAAAGTTGCAATTCTGAGAAGCGGGGAGGATGGTGGGAGGGAAGTGAATCTTTTATCAGCCCTGTGGGGGAAGGTGTCAAAATCCTCCCTCCCTTTTGCCTGCATCCAGGTAATCCAAGAGCTCTGGCATCATTGTGGAGCTTTTAATGCAGCTGGGGATTTGAGTGCTTTCAAACTCTTCCCCCCAAAAATTATCTGAAAGGACCCTCAGCTTTCTTTGCACCCCATTAATCACTCCTATGGTCTTTGTCCAACCCAGCACTTGTAGGGCTGTGGTCCTGCTTGGCAGCCGCTTGCTGACAAACCAGTGAAGGGGCAGGCAAGAGGCACTGCCCTCCAAGACCAGAAAAACTCACTTTCTGCCACTGCCTTTTGCAATGGCTGTTGGGCTGAGGCCAAGTAGCTCCTGGATCCCCTCATCCCACAACCGGATCTTCTGTTTATTTGGAAGTTGCAGGGGGATGATGGAGAAAGCTAAGTTCTTCATTCCCACAATTAAAGACAGCAAGATCTGGAGAAGGTGAGGTTTTGTCTCCCTTGGGGAAAGATATAAAAGATGACAGCTCTTGATGGGTGGGCTGAAACCTCCCTTTAGTTAGGGTTGAGGTGGAGCTGGTTCATCCCCATCCAGATCTTCACAGCCTCCAGTCCAGCTGGAGGAAGAGGAAGAAGAAGAAGAGGGTGACAGGGAAGTTGTTCTCGAGGGTGGCAGATTGACCACAGACGGGCTCCAGCACGAATTCCGGGAGGGTTCATGGATTTATCTCCCTTTGAGGTTGTAGTCAGGTTCCACTAACCACGAATGGAGAATAAGCCACAAACAAACAAGTTTCGTTGATAAGTATCTTCACTGCAGAAAATGTGGCACTAACTGACCAGCACAATGCTGAAAATAAAGTGCTTCCTGGCCGATGGGAGGCCAGAGCAGGCCACAAAGCAGGCTTGCTTAGAAAAAAGATCTGTAACAGTCCAAATCACAGTGTTGCCTTGGCTTTCCAGGAGATCCACAACAAATTCCATGGCTAACTCCACCCATGGTCTAGCAGGAGAAGCCACTGTGTTTAGCAGTCCAGGGGTTTTTCCCGGCTGTCTCTTCATGGTGATGCATACAACACAACTCCGTCCCTTTTCATGCCAGGCCACCAGAACTGTCAGTTCATCAGGAGTTTTCACATATCCAAAGTGCCTGGCCATATGGGTGTTGTGGCATCGCTGCAACACCTCCAGGTAAAGAGAATTGGGGATGTAGTTTTTTGACCCCTTCCATGCAAGGCTGTCTCTCATGGTGAGCGCATGTCGATTCTCTTGAAACCACGGGTCGGTTGTAAGTGCTACTTGGATGGTCTGAGGTAAGTCTGTTGTTAGGATTCCAGCACTTAACTGCATTTAAATCATGAGTCTCAAGCCAAACTTCCAAAACTTAAAAAGAATTTATTGGGAGTTAACATGCTGGCACTGCCTGGGTGTATCGTAATGTCAGAAATGTTTATTTGTACATTTTGAGTAGTTTATTTATCAGGATTCTGGCAGTTACCCCCATTTAAATCATGAGTTTCGAGCCAAACTTCCAAAACTTCAAAAGGATTTATTCGGAGTTAAAATGTCCGGCACTGCCTGGGTGTAGCCGACTCTGAGACACATAATTCATTGTCACCCTTGATCATGGTTTTCCCCCACCCCCTGGGTGTATCGTAATTCATATTCTCCAATGGGACACATCCATAGCCAAGAGTCATCAATCATGCTCTCCAGTTAGAATTTTGTGCGGCAGAAACTTCAGTCACCTAGTTACTATCTTTGAAAACATTTATGGAATGCAATTTCGGTTTTGCAAGCTGCTGCACTACTCCCCCCTCCCTTTCTGTTGGCAACTCTAAAAAGACCAGAGAAATATTTTATGAGTTGACATCTGTTACCTGGTTCCTCTTTCGTGACGTATCCACAGCTTTCTGAGTCTGATGGTCCGTGGTAGGTATTATAGCCTGGACTACTTCCTCCTGACCCCCAGCATATTGTGGCTTCCAGGACAACGCATCCACTACGAAGTTATTTCCGCCAGGGATGTACCGTAGTTTGAAATTGAAATGGTGGAAGTATAATGCCCACCGGACTTGTTTAGGCAACAATTTTCAGGGGGGGGGGGGACGGGGACTGCAGGGCCTCAAGATTCTTATGATCGGTCCAGACTGTTAGGGTTTTGGAATTAACCCCTAGAAGAGTATTGCAGCAGTAGTCAAGCCAGGCAACCAAAGGAGAGCGGAAGGGCCCCAGAGTATACACACACTGAATACAAACACTGTTTGTAGTTTAAATAGTTTTTAATCCAGTTAGAGTTTAAGCATTGTCATTCAGTCCATTAAGTCATTCACAGTATTTCCATCCAGTAAGACTCACTAGTATAGTCGAAGTTAAGAGTCCTTGCAATATCTTTATCAGCCGATAAAGATATCTT